AGAGAGAGAGAGAGAGAGAGAGAGAGAGAGAGAGAGAGAGAGAGAGAAACACGGAGTCCGGGGGGGGGGGAGGAGGAAGAAAGGGGGAGAGATATCAGAGGGGAGGAGGGAGAGACGATTCAAAGTGGAATCTGCACAAGCAATCTAGAGGAGGAGAGGAAAAACCCTGAATCGCTACTACTACACGCCAGATGCAACGCAAGCAACGACTTCGTCACACTAAAATAGATTTTGTTTGGGCCAAAAGTATAAATTACGAAGCAGAAATGAATATCAAACAACTTCCAGCGGTTTGCACCTAGAGAAAGACAGGAAGAACCCACAACAAACAAACCCAATTCAAACAACGCCTCCAGTAGGAAAAGAGGGAAACTGCGACAACACGACCCCCAGAAAAGAGAGGAGACTACACGCTGAGACGTTGGAGCTTCTGCAAATCTCAGAGAGTGCCGCGGAAAGAGTTGCGCTTCCCTGCTCTCTGGACATTAATTACATCCCTCACTTTCCTTTTGGGGGAGGGTGAGGAGGAAGGCATCACCTACAGTAAGTGAAGAAGTCCTACCAGCTTGGGAGAAGTTTTAAGAATGAACCACTGAATTTTGCTTTTATTTTAAATTTACTCTGGTACTTAAATGACTTCATTTCCAGATATCTGGGCAATTTCGACTGCAGACATCTAAGCCAAACCTCTCGGTAACGTTAATTTTTCTCTCACCACAGCCCGCTTCCCTCTCTCTCCTGCACACGGGTCATCTTTATTTTACTTATCAAGAAAAAGCAGGAAAAAAAAGTCCCAGCAGCTAGTTTTCTTTTCAAAAAATCATCTTTCTAATTTTCTGCAGAAGACAAAAAGGTTTGGGAAGAGGGGGGAAAAAAAAAAAACAAGCCGGCTATAGGATCAGCCGGTCAGCCCAGGTGGAGAGCCACAGTGAAAGTGGGGCTTAAAGGGAAGTGCACCGCCTCTTTCGAAAGCCACAGGGCCACCACCAGTGCGTGAGCCTTGGATCCCTCAACGTATTGCGAGACGCCGGTGTATAGCCCGGACCTGTGCCCCAACATGATCGCCGCTCAGGCCAAGCTGGTTTACCAGCTCAATAAATACTATACTGAGCGTTGCCAAGCGCGCAAGGCGGCCATAGCCAAGACCATCCGAGAGGTCTGTAAGGTGGTCTCCGATGTGCTAAAGGAGGTGGAGGTGCAGGAGCCTCGCTTCATCAGCTCTCTGAGCGAGATCGATGCTCGCTATGAGGGGCTCGAGGTCATCTCGCCCACCGAATTCGAGGTGGTGCTCTACCTAAACCAGATGGGCGTTTTCAACTTTGTGGACGACGGCTCGCTGCCCGGCTGCGCGGTGCTCAAATTGAGTGATGGGCGGAAGCGGAGCATGTCTCTCTGGGTCGAGTTCATCACGGCGTCCGGCTACCTCTCCGCGCGCAAGATCCGCTCCCGTTTCCAGACGCTAGTCGCCCAGGCGGTGGACAAGTGCAGCTACCGGGATGTGGTCAAGATGATCGCGGACACCAGCGAGGTCAAGCTGCGCATCAGGGAACGCTATGTGGTACAAATCACGCCAGCGTTCAAGTGTACCGGGATCTGGCCTCGAAGCGCGGCACAGTGGCCTATGCCCCACATCCCCTGGCCTGGCCCCAATCGGGTGGCGGAGGTCAAGGCCGAAGGGTTCAACTTGCTCTCCAAGGAGTGCTACTCGCTGACCGGCAAGCAGAGCTCGGCTGAGAGCGACGCGTGGGTGCTACAGTTCGGGGAGGCAGAAAACCGCCTTCTGATGGGCGGCTGCCGAAACAAGTGTCTCTCGGTGCTCAAGACGCTGCGGGACCGCCACCTGGAGCTGCCCGGCCAGCCACTCAATAACTATCACATGAAGACGCTGCTGTTGTACGAGTGCGAGAAACACCCGCGGGAAACGGACTGGGACGAAGCATGCCTGGGCGACCGGCTCAATGGCATCCTGCTGCAGCTCATCTCCTGCCTGCAATGCCGCCGCTGCCCGCACTACTTTCTGCCCAACCTCGACCTCTTTCAGGGCAAGCCACACTCGGCCCTGGAGAGCGCTGCCAAGCAGACCTGGAGGTTGGCCAGGGAAATCCTCACCAATCCCAAAAGCCTGGACAAACTATAGGGTGCTGGGGACTGTTTGAAAAGCCACATAAACGGGCGTGCTCTCTCTCACACACAACCCATCACTCAGCGATAAAGAACGGAAAATCTGGACACAAACTTTTATGAAAGTCACCCGAAACAAAACAGGAATCGGACGGAAGACCTTCGTTAATTAAGAAGTAAACAAAAGAGAGCAAACCAACCAAAAAAAAAAAAAAATCACATTCTTGCACAAAAGTGATCATTTTCTTCCAAACAATGTGAATTTAAAAGATCACATAAAAGAAGCAATCGGGCTTTGCCATCACAAAATGAAACCCAAGGTACATTTTCAAATCAATGTATAGTAGTTCCCCCCTTTTCCTTCTTTACACATCTCCCCCCCCCCTTCCACTTCCCCTCCCTTTCTCTCTGTTTTGTTTTTGGTTGCCTGAATGTTGTCACCAAGTGAAAAAATTATTTAACTATATGTAAAATTCCCTTTTAAAAAAGTTTTACTGATGCTAAATGTATCTCAGTGCCAATGTCAGATTGTGCTCCTCCTTCTCTTGCACCTCTACCCTCACCTTAAAACGTCTTGTTGGAAATAGTAATAAAAATATGACTTTACATTGTAATTGACTGTGGATTGTTCTTAAATGAAGGCAGGTGAGATCACTTTCTAATTTACAATCTAAGTGTGTGAACTTGAGGAACTAAATGCAAGACGCTTCCATTTGAACTCTGACTTGCAAATTTTAAAATGTAACCTTTTATAGAATTAACTGCAAAAGTTCTAATTGAAATACTTAGAAAAAAAGATTAATTTTACTCAACTCTAATATATTTGTTCTGCAGATTTTAAGATGAAAAGTAACATTTCATACTTGGAAAAAATAGATTTTCAACCTAATTTTCAAAATAGGAAAAACATTTTCACAATAAAAAATAAAGAGATTTGCTTTATTATGCCATGCTTTTAAAAAAAAATATCCAATAGAAAGGAAATATTTATGGAACTTTTCTGAATAGTCAACAAAGCCTGTTGATACTTTTCCTTCAACCATTTGTCCTCTTTTTGAATAATAAAAACTTAACAAATGAATTAACCACACCAAAAATAATAAAAATAATTACAGCAATATTCCTCTCCTCCAGCAAATGGTAATATGAACAATTCAGATTTATAAATTACTTCAACTTAAAATGGGTTAGGGCTAAATGCCATAGCTATGATAATTTTATCAAATTTCAAGAAGCATTCTGAACGTGCTTATATACAATTCAACAAAAAGATCTTGATACCATTTTTATGATCAAAGAAAAAATATTCTGAGAGTTTACAAATAGAAAATCCTCCTCTTTCTTCTTTTCTAAGATAACAATCCAATAAACTTATTTCAGTGTTTCAACTTTAACAAAGGTTTCTTTTTAATGCAAGGAAATAACTGTTTGGGATATAAAATAATCAATAAAAAAGTATTCTAAAGGAATTGGTTTGCCTTCTTTATGCTAGAGGTAACTATATATTCCATTAGCTTTGCTACTATGAGGCAAAGGTACAGAATATGTCAGATGTTTTCCTCCAATATTTATTCTTGGAACTAGCCTAGTTTTTAATTTATTGAAAAAAATCAATGAATGAGAGATGAAGAGGAAAATATTCTAGAAAGCAATTTTAAGATGAGAGGAAGATGTTTGAGTGGGGGAGGTGGTATATGAAGGGATGAGCAGCAGGATAGCAGAGATGGATGAAAAACACAAGGAAGCTCCTCAGGGGTCTGAAGTCTGGTTCACTTGATAGAACAGAGTTAAGTTGTAGGTTTCCCTGGCAAATATTTCCTGGTAAAGATAGTCTTGTGATAGAAATATAAACTTTGATCTTATCAGTTCTGAAATCACCTCCAACCTTGTATATAAGATCTATTTTTCTGGTCTCTCTCCCCTTAGATATAAAACAAACTCCCTAGTTCAGAACACTCACAAATTTTTTAAAATAACAAAACAAATTTATCCTCTGGGTAAAATGTTCTAAATTTTAAGAACATTTTCAAAGTAAGCAATGGTTATCTGCATGAAATAATGTAAGGGCACATTGTTTCTTTAAAAAGATAAAAATGCAATCTTAGAATGACTTTTTTTTTTCCACTCAGAAAAGTATGTACAGCATCGGATACAGAGCTTCCTCCAAATGGTCCATAAAAAAGTGAAGTCCTAACAAGAAAAAAACTAAAAATACCCCAATTCAGTATATTTTCTTTGTTGTTATGCAGATATCAGGGGAAAAAATTTTAAAGAAAAACACATCAGCAATAAATGTTCTTAATTCACAAAATACCTTAAAGCATCATTGCCTAAGCAATATCAAAATATTCTTCCAATAACTGGCTGAAAAAACATTTGAATATGAACTGGCAGTAGTATGATTTCTGGGATATTAGGCAGAAGACAGTAGTATAAGACAACTTCTATGATTGGGCCAAAAGATCCTGAATTTCACAATCAACAGAGAAAGAAAATTTAATTTAATGGCGTTGTACAGAATGGGATTAAGAGAGAAAAAAAATTATAGCTTTCCCTAAAGGAGCAAATAACTTCAAAGAATCTAATCTCAAAGACCAGTAGAGGTTTTAATTTTGAAAACAATTCATTAGACACCTTTAAACTAATTCAGATTTTAGACTTTAACCCATGTGTGTTCAAAATCATAACAGAATGTTCTGAATTAAATCTCAGCTTCTCTTATATTGCAAACTACCAGAAACTAAGAGTTTATATAATTTTGGTAACTTTCCCTTCCTAAAGAAATTAAAACACATTTCCAGATATTTCAGCCATGCAACAAAGTAGAACATTTTTCTAAGTGATATCATTTCAGAATTTAAAAGTTTTCTTTACATTGGATTAGCTGAATTATCTGGCTTGAAACAATCCATTCCATCATGGCCTTGTTATACAGTCTACCAAGTCCTCTTTTAATACAGGCAGCAAGATGGAAATAAAGTGCTAAAAACATGCATAAGATGAGAAATTATTTGTTTGTAAAGTTTTTAATAAAATTATAACATTTTCATTAACTGCTATTTTGAAATACTTCCAAATCATTAAGGTTTAACAATTCAGATATGATTTCAAAACCAAAAGCCCTCACTAACCAATAAACTTAGAATATATAGGTACACACACAAACACACACACAGCCTGTAAAACAAAAATGCAAACCAGGCCTCTTTCTACAGGTTCCTTATTTTGCTTATTTTTAAAGAAACTCTGAGCAAACTGTAATATTTACTTTCAAGAAATAAATGGAATTTTGGCTTTATGACTGTTAAGAAATACAATCTTTCTTAGTAAAACTAAAGCTGCCACAGTCAGAAAAGTAATCAGAAATACATTTTAAAAGAGAAATTATATTTTCATTTAAACATAGGAAATTATGCAGTGCCTTGTAAAATCTACTACAGGTAATGGGAAACAGAGGTATGATACACACGCAGAACGGGCTTGCTGCATGCACAACAAAGTAGTAAGTCATGGGGACAAAGCAAGGAGAATGATATATTGGTATTATATCCAGAAAACATAAAAGCTAAACAAAGTAATTTCACTTTCAATCTCACTAAATTTTGTAGCTTAATTCACCCTAGACCCATTCAAACAAAAATAAATTTATAGACAATGTTCCCTGAGCTTCCCCCTCACCAAAGAGCTAATGATAAATGCAATTAAGTGAAAACTGTTTTTGAATCTAAATGAACTTCAATAATCTAGATGGCAAAAGAAGCAAACTAAAAAAGAAAACTGCCTTACATGTACACAGAGTTAATTCAGCAAGAAATTCAAACTAAGCCCATGAGATTTTGCCAATGCTAATCTCACCTAACAGCAGCCCACATCCTATAATAAGAAAAAATGAAACCACCTCTTCATCTCACCTTGGGGTCGATTTTCTTGAAGTTGGGATCCTCTTCATCCACCTCAAAATAGAGTTCAGAGGAGGTGACAGAAAGAGTGCCCTTTACTACAACAGAGGGGGCCACAAGCTGAGCTGGTGTGCTCAGGCTAACGGGACCTGCCAAGAGGAAAAGATGAGCCATATAAGTTAGAATGACACTTTGCAAAAAACTAAATTTGACCAGAAAATTTATTAATTTTTTGAAGAATTAAAAGTACAAAAATGCCTAGTACCAAAATTCCTGTTAACTCCTTCTATACTTTCACATCCTTTCCATCCCAAATCTTCCTCTGAAAAATGCAAAGTCAGGATTCTCATACTAGAAGATTTATAACAGGCAGTTAATAACAACAGTAAACTAGGATGCAATTACTTTACAAGGAGTGCGCTAAGCTCTGGTCTCATCTCTAGGCAAAAAGGTAGCTCTGCCTAAATAAGTGCATCTACATTCCATTTATAAAACAAGCCTCAGGCTATCAAACAACATGGAATAACAACCAGGAGAAAGGAAGCCTCAATAGGATTCCAAGGCCAGAGGTGAGCTTAGAGTTTGGCTGAGGCATGACTACAAAAAAGGTCACTAGCTTATTAATAAGTGGGAAATTCTCTGATAAACTTTATTCTTGGAAAAAAATTTTATCCCAGATTGACACAAAACCTCTTCTGCAACAACTTTACCCTGAGAAAGACTGGTAAAAATACTTATTTCCTAACCCTTCCTTTCCACTGTTAAATATTGTTCAATGCTTCCAAATCTAATATTAGTGTAGTTCAGGGACATTGGGAGTAAACAGCTGGAGGGTGGGTTTCCAAGTGAATGAATTTTTATTGGAATAATCAAATCTCCACAGGGCTTATCAAAGAGACAAATCAGACTGCTACTGAAAACAAAAGATTCACTACAGATAGAAGAGCATAAAGTATATTAAATTTAAACCTAAAATAAGGACCCAAAATAATAATTATGTAATATATATACACTTATATAGAGAAAGATGCAGAAAGACTTTGAATTTCTATATCAGTTTATCATTGTGCAACTCCTATAGAAGAAGAAAACTGCTAAAGAAAAGATTGGCATTTATAGTTCTGAATTAATATAGTGCCTATAAACAAGGTGCACCTATTCAGGTAATCAATGAGTGAATAAGTGTTTCAAAATTCAGATGAACTGACATTTCCATCGATTGTTAGAAGGGTGATGGTCCTTAATCTCACATCAATCTTAATGTGTGCCAGTAGGACAATAGAAGGGATGCTCTGCAGAGATCAGAGCACGTTTTGCCCTCTATTCCCAATGTACAAATACATTGTGTTTGCAGATGGGCAGCAGATAGCTGCAGAACAGCCATGATTTCCCAAAGCTCATCCCTATAAATGGATGAAATAAGCAGCTATGTGTTCTTTTGCTGTCTCCTTTTGCCCTCTGTACATTAGCATGTAATCCTGAGAAGAAATAACATTTTTTCAATCACTCTTAGACATTCAATTATAGGGTAAGCAGACAGCTGCAGGAGCTAGGGCAGCCTAGGTCCTACAGAAGACCCCTGACAATTTCCACTTCATTTCTAACCCACACCACTTTATTAGTGTGGATTACTTCTTAATCCTATTGCCATTGTCAAGATTATATAATTAAACTCCCCTTTCACCTCTATTACTGTATGAATGTATCATTGGTAG